TATTTTAGAATATTTTTTTCTTTTTATATAAAAAAGGTTGACTATTTATTTCTGTTAATGAATTCTTTCTTCAAAAGATTTCTTTTTTCTTGTAAAAATTTTAATATATTGCCTAAGTAAGTCTTGATCTCTTTTTTAGACTCCCTAGAATATTAACCAGCATTACTTCAAGTATATAGTTCTTTTTTTTTTTTTTTATAAAATATAGATTTATTGATGGAACTAGTTCCCTACTTATAATAACATATAAGCTATATTCACTTATATAATAGCTTTTAATTTTTTTTTAAAGTCTTAGGGAACCTAAATCTTTTTGCTCTTGGGTATATGTTATTGTAATTTTATTATCTATTGTTAATTCTTTTTCTATCTGTTCAATAATTTCTATTAGTTTATATCTAAGTCTGTATAGTTTTTCTGAATTTTTAATAATTTTCAGAAACCTATCTTTTATATAGGTTTAAATAATATCTTCTTAATTGTTTTTTCCAAGTTACCAAAAATATAGTAAGTGTTGAATTAAGATTTGTTTTTTATGAAAGATAGTTTCATTAATTCCAGGTATATTAGTAATAATACTATTTAAGATCATATATGTTTTAGGTGATGTAGTTAATTTTTTATTAAAATTGATTTCTCTTTATTGTAGTAGTTATTGAAAGGCCTATAGTTTTGAATACTCATTATGTTTTTATAAGAGTTTAATTAAAGTATCAATTATATTCTCTTCTCATTTATTCATTATTTAAAATATAAATTAAGCTCTATTTATAATTGCTACTGTATTATTTATATTATGTCATATGTTTGATATTGGATCTAATATTTTAATATATTTGCTTTTGTTTATTTGTTTATTAAATATATGGTTTTAATTTTAAACTTTTTTAAGTTTATTCACTATTATTGTATTTTAATTATTAATATAGAATAAACACATATTTACTGCTTATTTATATATTTATTGTTTAATATTAATCTGTTGTTTATTTTCTTATTAATCTATGTAGAGTAATTAATTTTTATAAAGTATAATTTTGTTGATGAGTTTCAGATACTTGTTATGTTATATTAAGATATACATTACATAAATATTGTTTTTATTTAAATATAATGTAAGAATATATATGTGGCGTGCATTATATATCAATTGTTTATATATTACAATTGTATCACTATCTATGTTTTTTAGATTTGTTCTTGAGTTTCTGATGTTTTCTTAGATCTTTGTAACTTTTGAGTTATAATTGGTTTATTGATTAAAACTATTATATTGTAAATATTTCTTTTAAATATCTAGAAAGATATTAATTTGCATTGGCCTGATTAGGAGCTATAAGAGTTGATTTTGGATTTTTTGATTTTATTATAATTCAGATTTCTTTTCTTTTCTTTCTTTTTTTTTAAAGATTTTAACAAAGTATAATACTATTATAATAAATATATACTTTTCTATTTGTTGACTTATTTGTTAAGCCTTATATATGTCTTTTGAAAAAGGTTATATAGTTGTTGACTCTTGTTGGTATTGTTTAGTATTGTTTAGTTATGTTTAATGTGTCTTGTTCTTTTTTCAAAATTATCAAAAAAAGAAATTTTTTAAAAAAAAATGATCAATGAAAAGTTTTTTTTTTTTTAGAATTTAATTTTATTAAATATATAGTTTATATTATTTTTATTTATTTAATTTTTTATTAATTTTGCTATATATATATATAGAAATATTAGTTTTTTTAAAATAAATAAATTTTTATATTTTTAAAAGTATTTATATAGAATAATAAATTATTTTTTAGCATATATATATATATTTATACTATTATTTTTTTTTTAGTTTAATTAATGAATAATTATTATTTTTAATATAATATCTACAAATTATTGTTTCTTGATTAGATTTTATTATAAAAATAAAATAATTAATATTATATTTGTCATATAATCTTATTCAACCTCATTTCATCTTTTTTTATCTTTTTTAAATAATATAAATCTAAATTTATCGTTTTAAATAATCTTATTTTATTTATTTTTTAATTTTTTAATTTTTTTTATAATAATTTTTTTTATCATAAAACTTTTTTAATTTCAATTTTTCAATATAAAATAGTTATTCTTTTTTGGTTTTAATAGATAGTCTATTGTTTTTTAAGAAAAAAATTTTATAATATTATTTTTATAATTAAGAATAATATTATAAATAATACTTTTTTAATAATTTAATATCATAAGTTTTAATGAAGTTTTTTTATATTTAACATAAATGTTTTTTTTTAAGTAATTATTTTAATTATAATAACAAAATTATAAAAAAATAAATACATTAACAAAGATTATACATTATAAATATAAATTATTAAATAATTATTAAATAATTGACATTTTTAATAATTATTATATAATTAATATTTTAATAATTATTACATAATTAATACTTTTAATAATTATTAAATTAAAATTTGAATTTTGAATTTTATTTAAACATTTAAAAATTTATTAAAATTTTATAAAATTTAAACATTTAAAAATTTACTAAATTTAAAATTTAAATATTTAATAAAATTTTATAAAATTTAAAATGTAAATACTTTAATATATGTTAACCAAAATTTAATAATAATAAATTATTTATTAAAATAATTTATTAAAATAGTAATTATAAAAATGGAATAAATATTAAAATACTAAAAAAAATATAATATAAATTTTTTGTAAAAATGTTATTTATTAATAAATAAAATTTATCAAATTTAATAGAATTTTACTATAAGCAAAATTTGTTATGATGAACAATAAATAAAAATTAGATTAATTAATAAAATAAAAAGTTTTATATATAACAACTATTTAAAATTAATGATCATAATTCTAACATACGGTATTTTTATTTATTAAAGAGACTATACATTTATTAAATAAAAATTTAAATATTGAATAAAATTTTATGAAATTTTAAATTTAAGTACTAAGATATATGCTTAATACAAGTTATTAATGACAAATTCTTATCAAAAGATTAGTTATAAAAATATATTAGATATCAATATATTAATATTTTAATTGAATACAGCCTATCTCAATTGGGCGCAACATATTTTTTGCAATGTATTATTTATAACATAAAACTAGCCAAAGTAATCGACTCGCTATTTTAATTCGCAATAATATCTATTTGATTTTCATTTAAACAATTGTCCAATATTATTCTCGGTTATTACTGCCATTATCAAAGAACCGATTATTAAAAATTACATTTAATTTGAATTCGTTTATTTAATAATTTAAAGTTTTAACGATCGAATATTGAATCTCCCCAGTGATGACCAGATAATTTATAATCATATGCGTGTATATAAATTTTGAAATCGCTATTTAATTAAAAAAACCAACTTGATCAGCTTTCGTATATGCTATATTAAACTAAGAATCGAATGCTCGTAATATGAACACAGTGGATTATGCTTTTTTTAAATAACGCATTCCTAATTTTATTGAAGAAATTCATTCTTGACTTCTATAGATCATCGCAATCAACAGATTTCCTGTGACACCACGAAACTTACATTATCGGTCAGACGTAATGGTCAAACTTAAATACCGCGAAGGCAGGATCATTCACGTCTATTAATTGAAAAATACGTAGATAATTAGAACATTAAATAATCTATGTGCATATATTGAATAATATTTATTTAATATACACAGATACGTTGTATACGTATATAACGTAATTTTTCTATTGACCGGTTTTTTTATCTATCAGGAAGTAACGATCGTTACTTATAATATTTGCTGAGCCATATTTGTTACGATTTTTTTGCCGGTCATTATTGTTGGTCTTCTTTATTTCAATTGTCAATGAGGCATACATTTATGGTATATAATGGTAATTTTCCTCGAGTAAAAAATCATGCACCTTACAGTAACCGATCGATACAGTATATGTAAAAAAGTAAATTGAGGTGAATACGGGCTAGAACAATAATTATTTGTTTATGGCTAGCCATCATTTCCGCATACAAACTTTATCGTGGTATAATAAATATACACGATGAACCCTGTGTTAGGTCAAAATGGTCGACGCATTTGGTTTACTTGGCAAGTGTCAGATTTCCTATACCTGGTTTGGAACCGAACTGGTTCGCCATGATTTTTTTTTATTTGTCATTTTGGGTTAACTGGTTTTCTACGTGCCCATAAAATTTAAATTTTAAAAGGCAAAATTTTGATTACTATTGTTCCAAAGAACATTCCAAATAAAAGATGGTGGTTACATCGATTGAAGTTATTTTTTTTTTTTTTGCAAAATTTCTACTTTTTTTCTTTTGGGAGGATGAATTTTTCTTTTATTGTCTCGAAAACATTAATACGATGATTATTTGTGAAAACCCAAAAAATGAAATAAAATCACAAAAAAAAAAAAAAATCCAAACTGATTACTAATTAAAAATCAACGTGAACCATGGGCCGGTTAATTATAATACGTACAGTATATGCGTGTCAGGACGGGATTGCGTTTGTATGAATAAGTAAACTTTAAAAAGATGATCAACCAAATTAGTAAACTTGTGACCTGCATGCAATTAAATATTTCTTTTTTGTTCATTACAAAACAAACAAATTTCAAGAATGCGTGCGTCAAAAGCGTGTATGAAACATAAAAGTGCAGCGTTTGACTTAGTGTTCTTAACCGGCAATGTAACATCCATTCGCCAAATTTGGAAAATTAATCCCATCAATTTCCAAAGGGGCACCGATACTACTGTCCAAATTCTGGTATCATGCCCGTAGACCTTCAGCGCATTTCCTCTAATAGAATTAATAGACCGTCATTTTTTTAATACCGTATATGTAACCACACGAAATTACATAAATATGACTAAACGACAGTGGCGTTCGACTGAATTGCGAAAAAAGTCGAATCAATTCCTTTTTTTTTTTTTTTTTTTAAAAAAAAAAAAAAAAAAAACCAATAACAATAATAAAGAAACATGAGTAGCATGGAGGAGGAATATAGACACGGGATGACGGCAGTCATACTTGTCAGTCTGATAAACGGTATTGCAAGCTTGACAGTGATTTCTTTCGTAATAATGCACAGACATACCAGAAACTCTGTAGTCGCTCGCTTGGTGTGGAACTTGTCTCTATCTGACTTCATACAGAGTGTTGGGTTTATATTTAGTTGTTATTGGATGCATATCGGTGATATCCAGAGCGGAAGGACTTGTGATATACAGGGATTCCTCATAAATTTTGGCGACATCGCTTCAAGTAAAAATCTTTTTTCGTTTCTTCTCTCTCTTCTTAGGATAATAGTAATGATGACATTTCTTTTAATTTTATGCAAGGTTCCTGGTTGTTTGTTATCTGTCTCCACACCTATATACTAGTCGTGCATTCATACGAATATTCAAATATAATAATACCAAGCATGGTCATAATCTGGCCTCTGTGCTTCACATTGTCCGGGTTGGGTTTCCTTATACAAAACCCTTCAACACCATTTTACAATTCGGCCGGAGGGATGTGGTGTTGGATCTCCACCGAGTATGAAGTTTACCGATTTGGATTTCATTATGGTATCATCCTGTCCGTCGCAATCTTGATGATTGTCATGTACGCGATCATGTTTTTTGTCTTGCAAAAACGCCAACGAAGAATGTCAAATGAGGGAGAATCGAAAAAAATTTTGAAGATTGTCAGCAAGAAATTGGTTTGGTACCCTTTAGTCTATATCTTAATTGTATTTCCTTTGGCCATTGGTATGCATTTTTTCTGGTTGCATGTTGGGGATAGATTGCGCTTTTTTTTTTCCGTTCACTCACCCACCTCACCTTACATGCAGAACGCATAACAGCGCTTCTTGGAAGAGACCTTCCTTTTGGATAGTCAGTATTTTCCTTTATGTTAAATATTACTCACTCAAAATTAACTAATGAATATGTAATATAATAATAGCTTCGTCTTCGCGGCTTGCATCTTTACGTGCGCAGGTCTAGCAAACGTCGTATTCTATGGAATCATACGCAATGTCATATCTGTGAAGCCAATTGTGGACAATATTCTTCACCGTATGACCATGACTTTTGTGCGTGAGGATTCATTTCTGGCTGATCATTCGGTCTCGAACATCTCAGTTACCACCACACAACAAATAAAAATTTCATATATCCCAGATTTACCCGATAATACCAGCCATAACAGCGAATTGTCACTTGGGTCAACCTCCTCTTCAGCCTAACTGCATACAACACGTGATTAATACAACACTTCTAATATTTAAAGTAGGGAGACTGATAACAACTGAAATGGAACATATACTGTATATCATAGATTTCTGTTCGACCCATAATTTCCTTATTATGTAGTAGCACGCGTATTTTATTGAGTTTTAAAATAATAATAGAAAGAAAAGGATTTTCTAATAATATCGGGATAGCCTATTATAACATACCACGCGCTAAACTCGCTTGGTATATTCTCTCTACCTTCGTCGTTCCACCTTTCTACTTTTACCAGGAAAAATGATGGTGTCAGCAAGAAATCCTTTAATTTCTGTATTTTTCAAAAACTACGGTGCCGGCGGTTTAACCATAAGACTGAGATGGCGTTATGATAGGGATTTCGAGCGCTACTCATCATGTCCCACCATCCTTTTATGGCGATAAAGACCCGAGCAGTATGTATCCCAAAATTGTAAACGTAATACGTAATGGAAATTAGAACGCAATGGAAGGTGAAATTGTGATAACCGCTTTTGGTATCGAATAAAATACGTGCAAATAAAAAGAGTGTTGATGCTTAAAGATGAATTCTCAATTATCAATTCTACTATAATAAATTACCTAGTTTTTTCGGTTTTTGATGTAAAAAAATAGCATACATCGATTATATAAATTACCCAACTTAAATTATTACTGATTTTTGAAAGAGTGAAATTCTAATTTAATTCACAGGTATCACTAATTTAATGAGTCTTTGGCAATTGAAATTAAATTTTAAGAAAGAAGCATGCGTAAGCATCTCGTTTACGTAAACCTTCCTTGATTACGCAAACGAATTTTTAAAAATTAACCGGCTTATTAATTTATGAATAACCTTATTCAGGATAATATGTTGGTTTGAAAATTTTTTATATGCCGTATAAAAAATATAATCGTTCAAGTACGAAAAGTAATCATATAATATCACCGAAACACGAAGATTCTAATCTGGACAGGATCATTTCCGAATAGTGTTCAAACACTTGACGATCGAACACGGGTATTAACTCAGAATCTTATACATACATTCCGTAAAGGGTTCGACTCACGTATTGCACTTACGTAAATTGAATTAGGAACTAACCTTGCAACGATCATTAATCATTTACCACAAATTGATCTTTATCTAGAATTGTCCATTTTATCTTCATCAGGCAAGTATACTGTATTTTGTGTGCAGCTAAAGAGATCAAAAGTACCATTGTCATTAGGTCACGTTCACTCTACCCTCGAAACCAAACTGAAACAATAACGTCGTTGCAATTATGTGATTATAATTCAGTGACGCTCTATCAAAGAAGTATCACTCGGCCGGAAATTGCAGATCCCCCCTAGTACGTTGGTTGGTTCAGTGATTCTGTCGGGAATTCCTTTCCGTCCAATTAAATAAATTTTATATCGCTATACTCGTAATATTATTAATGAATCGGATTAAACTTTATTCCGTGGAAATTTTTTCCTTATCCGCATAGCGGCGAGTTCGCATAATACATTCATTGTCTTATTAAAATCCGAAAATTAAATATGCCTGCCAAGTCTCACGGATATGCTCGGATAAAAATGCCGGGGAAAAGAAGTTTCATATTAAAATGACGCATCATTTGAGCAGATTAGGATTTTGGATTTTCAACATCCGATAATTTCTCAGACCTGGAGATTAATACTGTAACCACAGTTGTGCATTTCGGGTCATTTGTATTTCGTCGGTAAGTACAAGCAATTTCCAATACGTATACTGAATGTCCGCAGGACAATCAGAAATACAGTATATGAGCGAGAGATTGCATTACATACATTGTGCTTTAGGCCGTTTATTAGTTATTAGTCCAGTACGGGTTGACCCTGAAGGTCACTCAATACATTGGTGGTATGGTAATTATCAACTTTCGGGTACCGTTCTATTTTCGAAAAATCATCAGATCGGTAAGGACGCCGCTTTTTAAAAATCTCGATATTTTGACTATAAATTATACAGGGATGTACCGTAAATAATCTTATAAACCTTTAAAATTAGAGTATGAAAATTGATTATAACTTTATAAATAATACTGTAGTTAAAAATCCAATAAAAGTTTTAAATATATGGTATGTTTTTAATACTTCCAAGGTTATTTGTTGTAAAACCTTCTTATACGTTAAATTACTATTCAAAATGGGTTTTTTTAAAAAATATATATATATATTATTTAAATTAAAAAATTTATTATAAATAGTATTAAATAATTAAAATTAAAAAATATTAATAATTGTTTTAATTTATAATAATAATAGAATTAAATAAATTTTCATTTTTTTTATTATAGATACAAGTTCTTTATTGATATTTAAATCTTAAGCATAATATCAATCATCTTGTACAATATATACAAATCAATAGTAACTTATTATAACTTGTTTTAATCAAACCTTCTTATCTCTTAAGTAAAAAAATACACTTGACTAGAAATTGAATAGTTGATACATAGTTATCAATAGCATTATTGGTATAGCTAGTCTGAAACTATACTATATATCAATCTATTTATTACATTATACTGTATATATCAACTTATATATTAGAGTAGTCAAATTCTTAAAAATTATTTAATCACTTGAAGTACTTTTATTTGAATCTCAGAAAAAATTTCAATCTTCTTTATTATTATATATAATATTGTAGATAAGTCTTATTTAATAGATATTTTATTTAAGCAAATATCAAATTAAAATATTTCAAGTTAGAATAGTTTGATTTTAAAATTTGTTGATACAATTTAAAATAGAAAATATTCAAATAATCATCACAATTTTGAAAGTGGGATCTCAAGTTCATTAATATAATTTAAAGTTAGTGGTTTATTTAAACAATTATTTTAGTTCTAAAAATAAAATCTTGAAGAAATACTTTTAAAATACTGATTATTAAAGAATTAATAAAATTGTTCTATTGTTACTGATAATATAGAAAAAAAAGTCAGATAATTTTAACCCTGCTAATTACCCCTGTCGATTTTGTCAGTTACACACTCTTTCTATATACTTTTGTAGACAATTAATCTTTCTAGACAAAAAATTGAGCTAAAATCCATGCATAATTTTGGGGTCACAATAGGTGTGGTCAAAAATTGATTAATATGATAGGAAAATTGTGGATCAGACTTTGTGACATCTGATAGTGAAGGAGAGGTGAAATTTGACTGATAAAAAAAATTAACTGTCTAAGGGGTGCAGGATAAATTTACTAATTGATAATTCTTTCCTCAATAAATAAATTTAACCAATCATGATATTTTAGACAAATTTTTATTTTGAGATGAAGGATAAGTATTTTTTATTTATTTTATTTATTACATAATTTACTTTAACATTTTTATTTTTATTTTATATAAAGAGTAGGCAAGGTTAAAGTTTTGTGGATAGAAATTTATAGGTAATTTAATATTTATTTATTTATTTTATTTAAATGTGAAGAAATATTACTTTTTCTTTTGATGAAAATTATAAATTAATAAAAATTCATTTGAAACAGAAAATAAAACCATAATTGCTATTTTAAAAAAAAATTAGATTTTGAGATTCACGATTTAGATTTAGATATATAATTTTTGAAAATCAAGATTTTAAAATATTTTTTTTTTTTGATAAGCTTGTCTAACTTTATTGTTTTTCAAATTATATATATATTGTGCAAAGTATAAGTACAAGTGTGTATATTCAGGGATGATAAAGATAATAATAAGCTAAAGTTATTTCTAAAGCTATATCAAGACTTATTGCCCCTTTTTTTTTTATAAAAGAAAAACCAGCATTCCTAGAGCATGCTAATATCATGAAAATACAAATAAAAGAAAATAAAAAGAAAATTGGATAGTCATATACCTCTTTGAGTAAGTGTCAGTCTTGTTTCTTAATAAATGTCTGTCTTATTCTAAATTCCCTTATAGAAAGATCTAGAGAGGTAAACTTTTACTGAATCTTTATGGAGATAAGTTGGAGGTTAAAAAAGAG